TCAGGAGTTCAAAACCAGCCTGAGCAAGAGCGAGACCCCGTCTCTACTATAAATAGAAAGAAATTAATTGGCCAACTGATATATATATAAAAAATTAGCCGGGCATGGTGGCACATGCCTGTAGTCCCAGCTACCCGGGAGGCTGAGGCAGAAGGATCGCTCGAGCCCAGGAGTTTGAGGTTGCTGTGAGCTAGGCTGACGCCACGGCACTCACTCTAGCCTGGACAACAAAGTGAGACTCTGTCTCAAAAAAAAAAAAAAAAAATGCTACTATTTTTTTGAGATAGCCTATTTCAGACAGTATTTCTGGACTGATAGCAAAAGAGAGGACTAAACTCTATTAACACCACTTCTCCTCTGTCCCTCCAGTGCAAATTTGCCTTTTCTCACCCTCCCAATAGCTCAGATTTGGTTCAGTGTTCATATTATTATGCCTATGTAAATATTGTCTACAAATGAACCTTTATTTTTCCTAAAGTTAATTATTTCTCCATGTTTAAATTTTCTTGTTTTTTTAACAACCTGTCTTCACACTTTGATGGAACTGTTAAATTCTTAGCACTGTCAGCTACATCAGATGATCTGTCCATTGCTTTTTCTTACTCCCCTTGGAAACCTCCTTCCTATAGTCCTCCATCCTGCTCCCATCTTAACTGCTTGCTCTCCAGGCCTGCTCCCTACTTGTCTTCTTGGGCTACATCATCATCCTTAGATTCTCTTTGCCTGTCTTTGATGGTGGGTCTCCTTTTTCCTGCATGCCCTGTTTTTGTTTTCTTGGTTTAGTCCCAGCTTGCTTAAGCACAACCTTTAGTCTCTTCCTGAAAAGGGATAAACCTCTGGGTTTGTGCTTGTGTGAGAATGCCTTAGTTTATCGTCATAATTGATAAGTAGGCTGAGTGTGGAATTCTAAGTTGGAAATTATTTTCTTGGAGAATTTGAAGGAAGTATCACTCCTAACTTTCAATATTGCTTTTGCAAAATCTAACTTTAATTCCTGATTCTTTGTAACCAACAAACTCTTCCCCCTCCCTTTTAAGAATATTTAATCTTAAGTGTTGTAAAATGTCACTTTAATGTGCCTAGTGTGGGGACTTGTTTCTTTATTTATTTAATCTTACTTTTTTGAGATAGGGTCTTGCTGTGTCACCCAGGCTAGGATGCAGTGGCATGATCATAGCTCACTGTAACCTTGAATTCCTGGGCTTAGACAGTCTTCCCACTTCACCCTCCTGAGCTGCTAAAACTATAGGCGCACACTACCACACCTGGCTAATTTTCTCTCTCTCTCTCTCTCTTTTTTTTTTTTTTTTTTTTGTAGAGGTGAGGTCTCACTGTGTTGCCCAGGCTGGTCTCTAACTCTTGGCCTCAGGTGATCTTCCTGCCTTGGCTTCATAAAGTGCTAGGGTTACATAGGCATGGGCTGCTATGCCCAGCCATTTCTGGAAATTTTTTAAATACTATTTCTTAAATCATTTTCTCCCTCTGTGTTTTGTCTTTCTCTTTCTGTAGTCAGATGTTGGACCTCATTAATCCTCTTTATTTTTTAATTTCTAAAAAATTTTTTATAGATTTAGGGGGTAAAAGTGCAGATTTGTTAGATGGATATATTGCATAGCGGTGAAGCCTGGGCTTTTAGCGTGCCCATCCCTGAATAGTGCACATTGTACCCAATAGGTAATTTTTTATCCCTAACCCCCCTCTCACTCTCCTGCCTTTTTGTGTCTCCAGTGTCATTTAGTCCACTCTGTATGTCCATGCTTACCCATTGTTTGGCTCCCACCATAAGTGAGAACACGTGGTATTTGTTTCTGAGTTATTTCACTTGGGATAATGGCCTCCAGTTCTGCCCACGTTGCTGCAAAAGACACGATTTCATTATTTTTTATGGCATACTAGTTAGTATTTCATGACATATACATATACAACATTTTATTTATTTAGTTATCCCCTGATGGACTCTCTTTCTTATTCATTCACTTTTATTTCTCCTTTGCCTTGCCTGTGAAATCTCTTCAATCATTCTCTTCCAACCCTTCTATTAACTTTTAAATTTTTTTGTTATTTTTAATTTCCAGTAGTTTTCTTTTTCCCTGAATATCCTTCTTTTTTAAAAAAATAAATCATATTTTCTTTTTTCATGGATGTGGCATCTTATCTCTCTGAAGATGTTAATTATAGGTATTTTTCCCCCTTAAGTTTTCTTTTTTTTTTTCTCTGCATTGTTTCTGTTTCTTCTAAATGCTTTTTCCCCCTGTTTGTATGTTAGAGAGTTTTTTCATCCAGGTTGTGGTGCTCCTTAACTGTTCATATTTAAGAGTGAAGGCATGAACTGATTGGAAGCTGAATGGATGGATAGTAGGTTTCACCTTGAGGACTAGTAGGTTTCACCATAGGAAAATTAGATGGGGATCCAAGTATTCTGTTGGAGGGACTCCCCAAGCATCAGTTTCTACAGAGAGGAATCTCCAGTCTCTGTGGGAGGTATGAGGAATCTCCAGTCTCTCTGATAGTCTTACAGTTGCTGAGCAAGTAAAGGGGTTGAAGGTGGCAAGTGAGGAGGAGTAATGTATCTTCCTTATGCAGATTTAACTTAAAAATTTCTTTTCAGCATAGTGCCTGATTCTGGCCTAAGGTGCTCACTTGGTATCCTAAGTACAGAGTGTTTCTGCTTCAACCTCCAAGACTTCCACACTCCCTACCCCTGCCCAACCCTGTCGGAAGCAGCTGCCCCTTCTTTGTCTTGTGTTGCACCTGTGCTTCCCTTATTATAGCACTTACAAGACTATATTTGCTTACAGCCTGTTTGTTAGTCTGTTTCCCCTGAGGGCAGGGATTGGATTTGTCTTGTTGATCATTTTTTTCTCTTGTACTAGGCACATTAAATATTCAGTCTGTATATGTTTGAACCCCAGGGCTTAGCCATTATATTCAGCCTAACTCCCCCACCCCTACCCAGAAGACCAGAGATTCACTCTTGGGAGAGGGGAACAGTGTTTTTCACTCTGTGGGTCCCTCAGTATCTGTAGGGCCTGTGAACAGAGGGCACCAAGGAGTGCCCCTTTGGGGTTATTGACTCTGTTCTAACTACATAATGAGGGTCTGTCATGAGCTCTAGCCAAGGATAAGACTTTTAATCAGCAGTCACACAGTTCCTAGGAAGTGTAGCAGTTTTTTGGACAAGAATAAGCAAGTTCTTGTTTCCAGTGAGTCCAAAACGTGAAAATGTACAGATGTTTAATGGTTCCATACTCCACATTGGAAAAGTGATCCACTCAGAGGTTTTGTGGGCTCTTCTTTTTCTCCTTTTTAAATTCTAACTTTTCATTATGAAAAATTTCAAATATACAAAATAAACGTTTGAAGCAAAGCCCAGACATCATCGTTTTTTTCTGTAACTATTTCCATCTTTTAAAAATACGCTTTAAAAAAATCATAGCACCATTATCACAACTAAGAAAAATAATAATTCCTTAATATCATCAAAGACATATGTGATATTCTTAAGCAGTCAGTTTAGTTAGTTTTGTAGAAGCCCTACAGTTCAAAAGGGACTCTAGGAGATTCTATCTCGCAAAAGGGACTCTTAAAAAATGGTTTCAGACCAATCTTATTCATCTCTTGTTTTTCTTTCCCCATAATTTCTTTTTATTAAGATATCATGTATTGTGCTTTCTTAAGGTATAATGTACATACCACAAAATTCCATGTTTTAAGTGTTTAGTTCAAATATTTTAATAAATGTATAAGGCGTGCAACTATGATCACAATAGTATTTTAGGCCATTTCTGCCATGCCCCCCCCAAAAAAAAAATCCCTTTTCGAATTTGCATTTATTCCCTAATCCCACCCCTAGCCACAGATGACCACTGGTCTACTCTCTTTCTCTATAGAGTTATCTTTTCTGTGTGTGTGAGTTTTTTTAATAGGATAGACTTTCAGCCAGGTCTCCTGTCTTAGCCACACCTTCGCTCCACTTCCCCTGGCACCAGTTTCTGAGCTTTTGGTATGGTGATTTAAATATGCCTAGTTGTTTTATCTATTGCCAGTTTAGGATTTTAGCTTTTTGGGTATGCTTGGTCAGCATTCATTCACCAGTTCGCTAGCTTCCAAAATGCTATTGATGTCTCTTTTTTTCTTGTAGGCTTATACCCATAAAACAACAATAAAACCAAAAAACTGAAGTGTCTTTTTTTTTTTTTTTTTTTTGAGACAGAGTCTTATTCTGTTGCCTGGGCTAGAGTGCCGTGGTGTCAGCCTAGCTCACAACAACTTCAGACTCCTGGGCTCAAGCAATCCTCTGCCTCAGCCTCCCAAGTAGCTGGGACTACAGGCATGCGCCACCATGCCCGCCTAATTTTTTCTAGATAGTTTTAGTTGGCCAATTAATTTCTTTCTATTCTTTTAGTAGAGACGGGGTCTCGGTCTTGTTCAGGCTGGTCTCGAACTCCTGAGCTCAAATGATCCTCCTGCCTCAGCCTCCCAGAGTGCTAGGATTACAGGTGTGAGCCACCACACCCGGCCTTCAGTGTCTTTTTAATCAGGTTTCAGGATTGAGTAGTGGGCAAATGCATGTGTGCAATCTACTACCATCTATAACTGGAAATCCTCCCCACTAATGTTGATTTGCCCTTTTCACTTATTTAAGACTGTATGGAACATTCCTCAGGAAATGCAGAACTCTAACAAACTTCTGTGCTAGATATGCTGTCACTTGTACATTAGTGTTTACTAGACCCTCTGTGTTATTAGTGGGTCCCATGATGAGTGAGGGGGAGCCCGTACTAGCCAGTGGCTGAGCCCACACATGTGTATACTTCCTGGGCTGGTAGCTGGGTTGGCATTTGTTCCTTATTTGACAAGTTCTTAGTGTATATACCTGTCATCAGAGACAACACAAGCTTTTAAAAGGTCCAAGCTTGGCATTTCATCCTACCCTGTGTTCTGAGTTTGACTTAAGCTCATCTAAGTCTTAACGCTTTTCTTTCTTTGTTTTCTTGTAGGATCATGGATTTTCCTGGTCACTTTGAACAGATCTTCCAGCAACTGAACTATCAGAGACTTCATGGCCAGCTCTGCGATTGTGTCATTGTAGTGGGGAATAGACACTTTAAAGCCCACCGCTCTGTTCTGGCAGCATGCAGCACACATTTCCGAGCCCTCTTCTCAGTGGCAGAGGGAGATCAGACCATGAACATGATCCAGCTGGACAGCGAGGTAGTGACAGCAGAGGCCTTTGCTGCGCTGATTGACATGATGTATACCTCCACCCTCATGCTGGGGGAGAGCAATGTTATGGATGTCTTATTGGCAGCCTCTCACCTGCATTTGAACTCTGTTGTTAAGGCATGTAAACATTACCTAACGACAAGGACGCTACCCATGTCTCCTCCCAGTGAGCGCGTTCAGGAGCAGAGCGCCCGCATGCAGCGTTCCTTTATGCTGCAGCAGCTGGGACTAAGCATTGTGAGCTCAGCCCTCAATTCCAGCCAGAGTGGCGAGGAGCAGCCAGCCCCCATGAGCTCGTCCATGCGCAGTAACCTGGACCAGAGGACGCCCTTCCCCATGAGACGCCTTCATAAGCGCAAGCAGTCTGCAGAGGAGCGGGCCAGACAGCGCCTCCGGCCCTCCATGGATGAGTCTGCCATTTCAGATGTTACACCAGAGAACGGGTCTTCAGGGGTTCATTCTCGGGAGGAGTTCTTTTCACCAGATTCTCTAAAAATTGTGGATAACCCTAAAGCTGATGGAATGCCTGACAACCAGGAAGACAGTACGATCATGTTTGACCAGTCTTTTGGCGCTCAAGAAGATGCCCAGGTGCCCAGCCAGTCTGACAACAGTGCCGGCAACATGGCACAGTTGTCTGTGGCCTCTCGTGCAACTCAGGTTGAGACTAGTTTCGATCAGGAAGCTGCAACTGAGAAAAGTGGTTTTCAGTGTGAAAATCCTGAGGTTGGCCTTGGTGAGAAGGAGCACATGAGAGTGGTGGTTAAATCCGAGCCCCTGAGCTCCCCCGAGCCTCAGGATGAAGTGAGTGACGTGACCTCACAGGCAGAAGGCAGTGAGTCTGTGGAAGTGGAAGGCGTTGTGGTCAGTGCCGAGAAGATAGACCTCAGTCCTGAGAGCAGTGATCGGAGTTTTTCAGACCCCCAGTCTAGCACGGACAGGGTAGGTGACATCCACATCTTGGAAGTCACAAATAACCTAGAGCATAAGTCAACTTTTAGTATTTCAAATTTTCTTAATAAGAGTAGAGGAAGTAACTTCAGTGCAAATCAGAACAATGATGATAATATCCCAAACACCACTAGTGACTGCAGGCTGGAGGGCGAGGCCCCTTATTTGTTGAGTCCAGAGGCTGGGCCTGCAGGTGGTCCCTCTTCTGCCCCTGGCTCCCACGTGGAGAACCCATTTAGTGAACCTGCAGACTCCCACTTCGTTAGGCCTATGCAGGAGGTGATGGGCCTGCCGTGTGTACAGACATCTGGGTACCAAGGAGAACAGTTTGGGATGGATTTTTCCAGGTCTGGTTTGGGCCTCCACTCCTTCTCCAGGGTAATGATAGGTTCCCCAAGGGGAGGAGCCAGTAACTTTCCATACTACCGCCGCATAGCTCCAAAAATGCCAGTTGTAACTTCTGTCAGGAGCTCACAGATCCCAGAAAATTCTGCCAGTTCCCAGCTAATGATGAATGGGGCCACATCCTCATTTGAAAATGGCCATCCTTCCCAGCCTGGCCCTCCACAGTTGACCAGGGCATCTGCTGATGTCCTGTCAAAGTGCAAGAAGGCCTTATCAGAGCACAATGTTTTGGTTGTAGAGGGAGCTCGCAAGTATGCCTGCAAAATCTGCTGCAAAACTTTTCTGACTTTGACAGATTGCAAGAAGCACATCCGTGTTCACACAGGTGAAAAGCCCTATGCCTGCCTGAAGTGTGGCAAGAGGTTTAGCCAGTCCAGCCATCTGTATAAACACTCGAAGACCACCTGCCTGCGCTGGCAGAGCAGCAATCTTCCCAGCACTTTGCTCTAGCTACTGTCCTCCCCAGACCACGGTGAGGCCAGTTGGAGGGCTGAAACTAGAATCTCTTGGTAAGCAATGAATGCCACTGGGTTTGAGGCTTCAGGCTGCCCAGTGGCTCTTCCAAATTTCAGCAACTAATAAGTGGAGAACTAATACCTGTAACATTTGTGCTGCTGCATTTCTGAGTGAAGTGCACGCCTTGGGGGAAGGATGCAATCCCTGACACCAAGTTCTTCCTTAGGGTTGAGTAATATGGTCATGAAGTAGTTTGTAACTGATGTTGTTCAAAGTGGCACATTTAAACATTAAAAAAATGAAGTGCAAAAAATTTTTTTAGCAATTTTTGTAAAACTCTGTGAAGCATTTAATTAAATTTCCTATACCCTCTGATGGGAGTGTTATATCCCTGTACAGTGATGCAAAACGCACTTATGTGTAACCAGTGGTGACTTGGCGCCTGTCTGAAAAAAAGGCCCTTGATGACACGCCTGTCTGCCACAAATGCTTTAAAGTGTATCATGAGCTAGTCCTAGGCCTCAGAAAGTACTGTATTTTTTATTTTTGTCTGAGTTGCAGTCATAGACACTGCACTTTGATGGTGCTGACACTGGGTCCAGAGTGAGCATTCTCTTGGACTGTTAGGTGTATATACTTTTGAATACATCACTGTTAGATAGATGTTTTAACATTTTTTTCTGGTTTTAAAAACAAAGTTGTAAATGGAGTATGTACTTGTAGAAAGTGACAAGTAAGGTATTGTTTCTGTATGTGCTGTTTTAGCAGTATTTAACCAACTTGTACTACAGATGTTACAGTTCCATGTTAGGAAGTCACAAAAGAGCTAGTGTTTGTCTTCGTTCTGATGATGTGGAGTCATGTTTTGTGGGGTCTTTCATGGCGCATTTGCCCTTTGCTCCATCCAGACGTCGAGGGCCAGTCAGTCGGCCTGACACATCCCACCCAAGGACAAGCCTGTCCTCTGATTCATTTCTTCACACTCCCATGCCCTATATGGTATCTCTTCTAGGTCTAGAGTACCATTTTCAGTTACAAACTAGCCAAAAATTCCACTCCCCCATGGGTTTTATTACTGTTATATGCTGTACTTTTAACAGTACAGACCTGAAACTTTTATTGTGGTTGCTCCCCCAATCCAGTACTGAATGTTCAAAATTGTTTGAAATCCAAACACAGTAGTGTTCATGGATATATTCCAGGCTCTGTAAGAGTTAGCCTGTAGCATAGAAGTCACCAAGTGGCATCTGACTGTTGGAGAGGCATTTGGATCACTACCCAGGGCTTCCCTGGGCCCTCCGGCCCCACATCCCTAGCCCCACCTTGCCAGTGACCCTGTGCCACTAGGGCCGTTGGTGGCACCTGTATAAGGCCAAGCCCTGGCTTTTGTGTCCAGAGGAACAACACAGGTTAATGCATTTCTGTAGAACTCATGAAGTGTCAGTTTAATTCATGCATGAAAATGAGTTCATTTTATTTTTTTATACATCTTTCTTAGAGATACCAAATCATTGTGTGTAATTCAGAGAAATTATTCAGTTCTTGTGTTTAGAAAGCTTAAGTATTTATGTGGAGCCTAAAGCAAAAATGAGTGTGTTTTCTCTTAATTTAGTGTGTGTAGTTACACATCTGTGGATTAATTCATAATGTTCCAGAGGGGCTTGATATCTCCCATGAATTGATTCCCAGGGAGGAAAGCCCAAAAGGAAACCTGTGATTCCTCTCCTGAGTAGACGTGGGAAAGAGGCCATTGGAGGATGGGATCACCTGTGGAGTTTAGTTCTGTCTACGGCTCATGGTTATCGATCGTGTTCTGACATGTTGTGAGGAGGCTCTACATCCACCCCTCTACATGATGTAGGGACCAGTGTCTTACAGGGAGATTTATCTTGGGACTCAGGTGGGTCGGCATGGAGAACAGGAGAGGCCCTGCCTGGGCCCAGGGAGAGGATCCAGTGACACCAGCAGAACAGTGCGGCCCTCCTTCCCTTCCCTTCTTGAAGAGGTGTGTGCCAGCAGCCTGCCTTCACTCCCCTCGGCCATGTGCAGACTTTGCTATGGGGGCCTATCTCTGAACATGCGGGAGCCCTGCCTCTCCACTGCTAGATGGAACCGGGACTCTCTCATCTACCTCTTAGTCGGTCAGTTTCTATGTGTGAGAAGCAAGCTTGTGGGCCAGTGTCCTTGTACATGCTGTAGCACTTAAAAAATAATTCCAAGGTTCCCTGGAAAACCAGTCCCAGGGTTCCTATGATCTGTAGTTTCTACCTGGATTATAACTGGTATTGGGTACCTGAAATTTGATTGGTGAGCCTTAATTATAGCCTGGCATGATCATGTAGAATCCTTTCTGGTGATCAAATCATAAAGTTCTATCAAGGCACCCATGTCAGTGGTGCTATGCTGGTCACAATTTGAGATTTTGAAATAAAAAATTTGTCATATCTATGCCTCTAAATATGTGCTCTTTTTCTTTGCCTAAGTTATTAAGGTTGAAACAAAAAAAGGATTATATTTCTTTCTCTGCTAGCCCTGCTTTGACTAGTATTTTTAAACCAAGCCTCTTAAAAGATAATCTTGTTGATTAATAACAATTGCTGGTCGTTTCCCTCAAATTATTCCTTCTGCCTCCCCCCTGCCTGCCTTTTCTGTCTCTGAGCTATCATGTGTGAGGTTCTGTTCTTGGTCCACCCACCTTCTTAGAGGGCTGCTTCGTCTTGTGCTGCTCCCTGGACCTGCCTCCCAAGTTGAAAACTCCATTGGCCACTTTGGCTTGGCTGAGGGCTTAGGCTGGAAGCTGATTCTAGAGCACGGAGCAGGGCTTTGGCAATGGGGATGCTGTGGTCCGCCCTTGGGGAGTGGGCAAGTGGTGATTAACAACACAGCAGCCACCTAGGGGCAAGGGGGCAAAATGCGCAGATGCTGAAACTAGGTTTTTTTTTTTTTTTTGAGACAGAGTCTCGCTTTGTTGCCCAGGCTAGAGTGAGTGCCATGGCGTCAGCCTAGCTCACAGCAACCTCAAACTCCTGGCTCAAGCAATCCTCCTGCCTCAGCCTCCCAAGTAGCTGGGACTACAGGCATTCACCACCATGCCCGGCTAATTTTTTTTTTTTTGTATATATATTAGTTGGCCAATTAATTTCTTTCTATTTATAGTAGAGCCGGGGTCTCGCTCTTGCTCAGGCTGGTTTCGAACTCCTGACCTTGAGCAATCCGCCCGCCTCGGCCTCCCAGAGAGCTAGGATTACAGGCATGAGCCACCGCGCCCGGCCTGAAACTAGTTTTAAAATTAAGAAACCTAACTACTCTTGACCAAAAAAGATCAGTGTTGTGCCCTTACCTAATTTTTGTTTCTTCTAATTAACTCTCCTTTGCTTTATGTGCTCTTTAATTTTCCTGATGGTCTGTGTTTCAGATTCAAGTACCATGGTCATACTGGGCTCTGCTTGTCCTGTCCTGGGTGAGGAACAAATGAAGGAATTGGGGCAGAGAGGACATGGAGTGACGCATGGTCGGACAGGTTCTAATAATGAAAATGCTTGGGGGTGAGGGCTGGTGGGAACCAGAGCCAGGCATACCACTAGAAGCCCCGAGTTAGATGAGGTAAGCAGATGCTCTTTTTATTCTTTTTAGAGATGGGATCTCACTGTGTCACCCAGGCTGGAATGCGGTAGCTATTCATAGGTGGCATCATAGCTCACTTCTGGCCACAGGCTCTCGAGGAGCTGGGACTCCAAGCACAAGCCACTGCACTTGGTTTGATGCTTTTTCGTTAGCTTCCCCCAAAACTATTTAATAATAGCATTACACATTTGGTCTAGGCGTATCCAACCACAAAAGTGGCAAGCACATCTGTCAGCACCAGTCTTCCCTCGCAGAATCAGGACAGATCAGACTTTTCCTTGGTTCCCACTTGTGGGCACGTCCGACAGAATACCAGGGCGCCATTTGCCTCCCGGCCCTGGCTACAGCTTGAGTTCACTGGGCATCGGCTCCCCTCTCAGGCCAGCCAGCAAATTGTTAGCTGCCAATAAGGACATGGTGTTGCGAGTTCTGTAAGTGGCACTGCCAATGTGGGGCAGGATCACTGGAAAGAGAAGAGAGGGTGATAAGCAGGGTGGCTCAAGAGCCTTCAGTTGGGCTCTTTTATCATGTCTTGGCTTAGCCAGTGAGAAAAGAGAAGCTGCCTTGTCATTCCTTGCTTTGCCTTCCCTCCTGCTGCCACTAAGCATTCCATACCCTAAGCCCCAAGGGCTGAGACTTGGAGAAACAGAATAAAGGGACTCCAGGCTGTGGAAAGCCAGATGGTGTGATGAGAAGTTTGTATCCTAAATGTGGGACTAGCACAGGCCTTGGAGCTAATCTAGACCCCGCCCTTCAGTTAATAGATGGTGTCAATTTAGCTTAGGAGTTTAGCACTGGCCACCCACACCCTGTGTCCCCGAGAATGATGCCAGAGGGCCACAGGGCTTCTGATCTACAAAAATAACTCCAAGACGGAATGCTGGACAGCACAGCTCCCTCTGGCCCCACTAAGGGCCAGTGAAGTCATTCGTCCCTAAAAAATTGCCAGCTGGGTGTGGTGGCATGTGCCTATAGCCCCAGATACTTGGGAGGCTGAGGCAAGAGGATCCCTTGAGCCCAGGAGTTTGAGTCCAGCCTGGGCAATATTGCCAGACCCAATCTCTTAAAAACAAACCAAAAAAACTACTCTTTAGAAGCAGTACCTAGCACCTGGGTCCCTGAACTAAACTCCCAGGCCTTGGGGGATGGGGCCAGTTTTCCTGGCTATGGCCAACAGTGCTGACATCACAGCCAGTGTTCCTTGCAGGCTGGGGTGGGAGGCGGGGACAGTAGAGTTTCCAAGGGCTGCAATAATGGGAGCATTCACTGGGGAAGGCAGTTAAAGACCTCCTGTTTGGGTGTCTATTCCAGAATTTAAGTAAAGCACGGGGACTTGGTCCAGACAGCCTAAGGCCCTGACCACTCACAGTCTGGGGGCAGAAGTCACACTAGCTACCTGAATAGAAACTTACTATAAAGGATTATTAACTAGGTATAAAGCTGTTAACTAGGTAATTGAAGAGGCAAACAGGGAAAACACTGAGGCAGTAGTTCTCTAAGTGTGGTCTCAGGACCGGCAGCATCAGTGTCATTTGGGAACTTCTGAAGCAGAACCCTTTGGGCTTGGGCCCAGCAATGTGTGTTTGATCAGTCACCCCCTCCTGGTGACTCTGAGGAACATAAAACCCCCACACTAGGATATCAGAGGTAGCAACTGCTATAAGCATCTGCCACCCCAGGGATGGGGGGACAAAGGGAAGGGGTGGGACTGTTGAAACCTAGAAGACTAAAGGCAGGGCCCCACTGGAGTTGACATTCAGACTCTGCAGCCAGGCACTGAGTGGCTGTCGCTTGTGTCTCTGAGGGGGCCCAACAGGACTGGTTAACTGAGTGCTGGAAAAACTGCAAACTGGATTCTCCAGCAGGAAGCAACTGGTGCTACCAGATGCAACAGGAAGGCAGGAGCAAGTCCCCCGTGACAGGGCCTGGTAGGGCCAGCTGGCACAGCAGGAATCGGGTGCACAGAGGCCCAGCCCTGGCCAGGCAAAGCACAATAAATAGAGAAGTGGGCTTTGTTGCTGAGAGACAGCAGCTTCATAACGAGTACAAGTTGTAAAGATTGGAATGATAATTACACTTCTCATTTCCCACAGTTAAACTGATAATAGCAACTTATAGTACTAGCTATGAGTATAAGACACACAGGCCTACTCTGTCTTAAATCCATTCACCCTACACTCTGTGCCTTTAGGACAGAGCCAGTTGAGCATGCTCATGAGGCCCCTTTCTATTATAGACCACTGTCACTAACAACGTAAACAGTTACAGTCCCTGGGCGTGTCCCTTTGTGCTCAGCACTGCTCAGGCTAGCTTCACGCCCTGCACCTCCAGAACCCCCCACCCCAACACCGGCCCTGCAGGGCGGCAGCAGGTTTGCACTGGGAGGGTGCAGATCTTACCACAGTTCTTCAGGGTCAGGAGAGGGTGGTTTGTAGGCAGTGGTTCTGGGGTTGTCACATCCAGTCCAGCAGCTGCGATCTGACCACTGGCCAAGGCCTGGTACAGGTCGTCCTGGTTTACGACATCGCCCCTGGGAATGGCAGTGGTGAGACGGGTGCCCCAGCACTCCCTCCACCCAGGCCGCCTTCAGGGCAGAACTCACAGAGTGAATGTCCCTGAATGTCCCCACTCACTTGGCACTGGCTTTTAAAGTGGTAGGTTTTAGAGTACGCTCACTAAGACCCTGTCTGTATAGGAATACAGGTCTTAGAGAATCCCCAGCCCTGCCACTTTCTAGCTGTGTGACCTTGGGCAAGAATTTCAACTTCTCTGTGCCTCTGTAAGATAAGAAGACCACCTAACTCCCAGGAATGCTGGGAGGATTAAAGTTTTCTTACGTGCACTATTGCACGAACAGGGCCCAGAAGTCTGCAACTGTGTTGGGCCCCATCCAGGTATTTCTAATCTGATCCCCTCCCCCTTGCCCCCCAGCTACCACAGCATGCCACCTGTACATCCTGGGTGCAAGCAGGTGCTCAGTAAACAGAAGCTCTGACTATGCTGGCCAGCAGCACAAGCCCTGTGTTCCTGCACTCTTCACACTGCCACTCTCAGGTCACCTCCTTTATAGGTAAACTTTGGTAATTACAGGCACCTTAGGAGTAGATGAGGGAGCCCCTCAGGGTGACCTCATCCAATCCCTTCCTCCAAACAGATTTAAACAGGTTCAAAGGGTACCAGCTGCCCTGCATACATGCCCAGTGGCTTGAAGGCATCCCCGGGGACATTTTGAGGAACTAAGATAATTTGAGTTTTAGGGTCAGTCTTCCCAGAATCACAAGGTTCAAACTATCACTGAACTCAAGGTCAGACAGACCCAGGCTCAGCAATGTGGAACGTCAGCCTCTGGAGGGCCACTAGGGTCGTGAAGTCCAACCCTTTGCGGGAGGACGCCAGACCTGCTGGAGATTCCCTGGTAAAAGTCGCTGCCCATGTCGCCTTCACTGCCTGTGTAAACACTGCTGAGTGCCAGGTCCTGAGCCAGGCCAGCGCCACTGCTAGGAACCAGACAGGCCTGGGCCCTGCTCTGATTCTCTTCTTCCTAACCCGGCTCTCTCATGTGTAACATTTCCCATGTATTTCTGGGTCAGTTGGTTCATTTATGGAAACTAGCTGGCTTGGCCTGGGTTCTCACTAACAACCAACAGGGAAGAAGATCCCCAGATTGCAGCAGTGGGGACAACTCCTCTCCAGGTTTACTGGGTGACCCAGGGATGTCAGGTGGCCCTAGGATACCTGCTGATGTTGACAAACACAGCTGTCTTCTTCATCTTCTGGAAGAAGTCCTTGTTGCAGAGCCCCCTGGTTGCAGGCGTTAAGGAGCAGGCCACGACG